TAAATTTACTTCTAAACAGTATTCTTTTGATTAGTTCTCATTTGCATACATATGCAAATTTTACTTTGGACTTTACTAGAACCAGTTGCTCATAAAATATTGGCTTCTCATATGAATAAGTTTATATGAGACCTTTGTTATATTGTGAAAAGCTAACTTATCGAGTAATTACAGTATGCTCCTTTTTTGAAAAGGCAAAGTAAGCAAATTTATACATATGACCCATATCAAGTACCTACCCTGTTTCCCCGAAAATAAGACAGTGTCTTATGTTAATTTTTGCTCCCAAAGTTGCACTAGGTCTTATTCTCAGGGGATGTCTTATTTTTCCATAAAGAAGAATATGGTACACATTTATTGTTAAATGAAAATAAAGGAAATTTATTACCTTATACAGTACGGTAGTACAGTAGTTGTCAACCCAAACCAGACAAACTGTGAATCCTACAGTATCAAGAATTTACTCATTTATTCAATGACAATCATGTCATCATCTTCTGGATCATCATAACAATCTAATTCCTGAATTTCCTGGTGAATTTCTTGTGACTCCATTTCTTTCAGAATCAATGGACCAAATCTCTCACATTTAGCAATAGCACTGTCTTTAAATGAGTACTTCTTGTCAAGATAGCCCACTCGCAGTGCATTTGCAATGCAACTGTCAGTGATTTACTCCCAAGAATTCTTCACCCAGGTCACAACTTCTTGCAGTTTAGATTTCACAAAGTTTCCATGCTGATTTCTCTCCATTCTATTTTCAATGTAATCATTAATTTCCATACACAAATTGTCTTTGAATGGCTTGTTTATTGCAATATCAAGAGTCTGGAGATAGGCCATCATTTCTGCGGGAATCAATATCTGATCTATTTTTCTTTTGTGAAGAAATGTCTTCATGTCCTTAGCGTGGTGAGTGCTGGCTGCATCCAGACTAGCAGACCTCTTTGGCTCCCTCGCATAACAAGCGGCAGCATTAAATCAACCCACTTCCTTATAACTGCATGTGTGGCCCAGGCTTTTTCAGTTTCAAGAATAAAAATGCCCAAAACACGTTCAATCGTTTCCTTCTTGCCCTTAGAAATGATTAAAGGTGAGATTTTAGTGCCATCCAGATGAATTGCCAAAATACAGGAAACACATGCACTTTGGTAAGCAGTGGAGGAAATGTACACTAAGGATGCACCCCACTGTTCAATTGTTGTTTGAGATGATTGGCCATAAACACTGCAGTTTCATCCATAGCAATCATGTTGGAAAGATTGTATTTAGAGAAGTCAGAGCCGAGGGGGGCCTAATTTTGGGGGGGATGCCTTATATTTCACTCAGAAGGAAACCTGTAAGTAGGTCTTATTTTAGGAGGATGTTTTGTTTTCAGGGAAACACGGTATGTCAACCCCCAGCCAATCTGAAGAGCAGGCTGGATGGGAGTCTGAGGCATTATGCTTCTATTTTAAAATTCTGCTGCTGAATATTCTGATTTAGCTTAAGAAGTATCTAGCAACCTTATCCTGCCAAGCTTGGATACTGAAACCTCAGGCTTTCTTTCTCAGAGTAAAATGGCCCTTGCCTTCCCCCAACCCCCACTTTTTTTCTTTATTTTCCCCTCTCCCCCTCCCTTTCAGCCCTTGTCAGGGTGGAGATAAGGGCTTTTTAATTACAGGCAGGCTATAAATTAGCTAGTGGTCTGGCCTTTGTTTAAACTTTAAATAATTAACTTTAGAACTTTTTCTTTCTTTCAACTTTTCTCTTTTCCTTCTCATCATATTTGCAACCTTCACAAATTTGACACTTTCAAATTAGCCCTCAAACCTTCTTTCTATGTCCTTCAAAAATGTACAGCCATGCCTCAGACCTTCCATGAAGTATTTCTACTCTAGTATTCTTTCTTTCTGTCATACCTTCAGCAACTTGTATAGACCTTTTTTTCCTTTTTTCTTTAAAAATGTATTAGAATTCTTCACTCTTAGAAATGTTAATTTTCCAATGATTACCAAAAAGCAAACAACCAGCATTTCTTAGGTTAACATTTATGAACACACATTAAATGTACTTTTACTTTCAAGAAAATATATCTTCAACAAAGTATAAGAGACCTTCTGTAATAAAAACTAAGAGCAAATTAAAACATGCCCAGCAATCAATGTTTCAGTATTGTATGCGATTTTAAAATGTTTAGATGCTAATCATTTAACCCAGCAATGCTACAAAGCCTTCAAGTTACCAAAAGACTTTGGAAAATTGTGTGTAGGCATATGAGGCTGCAGAAAAGGCAGGGGAGGAGGAAGCCGCCCCAGCAGCCTGTTCCCAGGCCTCTGGCCCTTGGATTCAAACCTGCCAGATTTTTCCTTAGAGATAACATGCTAAGGTTTGGGAGGTAATGAGCTCAGCTCCTGATAATAGCGGACTGTTAAATACGCATTTGCAGTAAAGAAAGCTGTATTTGGGAATGATGGGGTTGGGGAGGAGGAGGTGAGAAGGCGCTGAGCTTGGAGCAGTTTTCAGAGCATAAAAGGGATGAGAATGCTGGCCTGGGGATTGGGGGTCTAAGGCTCAGTGAGTGGTCCCTTTGCTCAGTGGGAGAAGGCGAAAGTTGGGACTCAGAGATGAATGTATCCAGCGAGCCCAGGAAAGGAGACCGTTCTGGTTCAGAGGAGGAGACAGTCATGGAGGTGACAAGGAGGTAAGGCCTTTACAGTCCAAGGAATGGCTCAGTAAAAGAATTCTGACCTCAGCTTCTGTTTACATTCTGTGTGAGCAGGTGCAGAACTTTCTAACCTACCCTTACTAGCCTTTTCACCAGCATCTCACTTTACACACAAAGCATATCCCTTCCCTTTATCTTTGCCATGACTGAATTGTAAACCTGGCATTTTACTCTGTAAGCAGGGTACACTGCCCTTCCTTTCCCTCTCCAACTTTTTTTTTAAAAATGAAAAGTCTTGGTGACTCAAGTACTTTCCTCTTTACAGACAAAATTTTCTTGAATAATGCAATCGTATTCATTCAGGAATTAAAATTTGAATGTAAGTCAGAAATCTACACTTAATTCAGTTCGATCCCTTAAAATACCCACATAAAAGAAAAATCTGTGATGATATCTCTTTACTCACATTCAATAAAGTATTAGTCTTATGTCCAAATGGAAATGCTTGATTTTATGAAATAAGACTCATATCAACATGAACCTAAGACTTGATTTTATGAAATAAGACTCATATCAACATGAACCTAAGAACCTTTGACTTTCTTCAAGATAACATTCATCTATGCTGTTATTTTCAGGAGAGAAGACTCAACATTTCATAACTAAAACTCTAAAGGGGATAAGAATAACCACATATTCTAACATTGATTCTCTACCAGATAAATGGCATCAATTCAAAATATTTTAAAACATGGTTACCCTAGCTGGTTTGGCTATTACAATTACAATAGGTACTGGTTAAATAAATATTCCTAAGGTGGAATATTGTGCAGTAATTAAAATTACTTATTTTCCATATTCAGTGTTCTTGAATGTTTACTAGTATACTATGGGTATTTATTTATTTAACGAATGTAAGTAGGGTTTTATTTACACGGACACTCAATTATAGATGAGCTGCTTTCTAGGATCCATATGCCTTTTGGAGCTGCTTGGTTTCAGGTTTCTTGTCTCAGGCTTCAAGCAAGAGACAGGCAGGAGATAGGCAGGGAAAGCCTCCCAAGTGGTTGGCAAACTGCAGCTCCTAAGACACATGTGGCTCTCAAGCCTCAGTTTGCCACTCTATTGACTAATGAGTTTGCTGACCGCTGCCTTAAGGAAAAACACTTTAAAAATTTTAATAATGTACTAATGTCTTTAACCTGAAGTCAAAACTTCTGGGTAAGGATAATGCCTTACACGGTAGTTGGCAAAGTCATTAGTCAACAGAAGGGCAAACTGAGGCTCACGTAGTAATATGGTAATATGCTCGAAAGTCGCAGATTGCCAACCACTTGCCTAACTGGTTTGGCTCAGTGGATAGAGTGTCCGCTTGTGGACTTAAAGGTCCCAGCTTTGATTTCTGTCAAGGGCATATAACTTGGTTGCAGGCACATCCCCAATGTTTCTCTCTCATCGATGTAAAAATCAATAAATTATATTTTTAAAATAAAAAATACTCTTTATTGAGCTAATTATTCTCTGGAAAGACCAAAACAGATATTTTATTTTGACATGAAGAAATTTTTTCTAGGAAAATAATCACAAAATGCATAGGTTATCTTTTAGTATCAAACATATTAAAAGGTTTTACTGGAAACAAAAAATAATAATAGGTTGTAGAGAAATTTTTGAGTTATGTTTCTATAAATAAAATAATTGCTATAATAATTTTTCTAATTGTTCTTATATTGACATTGTATCAAGAATTTAGCAATAAAGAAAGGTTATTTTACTCCTCTATTCTTTCAACACTTGAATTAAGCCTCAGTGCAAACCACTGTTCTAGATTCCGGAAATCCAAAGGCCGGCTACTAGATATGATAAACCTTGCTCTGGGCTTAAAAAAATATAATACTGTTGTACAGAAGCCAGATCAGATTCATTCCTTGAAACTTTTCTAAAGAAATAAAACTTGTGTTATGTGTTACATAGAGGAATTTGGAGGGAATATTTTTCGGAGAAATACTGTTCAAACAAAAATCTTTCCTTACCCCAGAAAATAAAAAGTAATAGGGTTTGTAGTATGTGTTTTATTATATCATTCAACTAAGTGTAGCATTGTTTTAAAACCAATGCATAGATTTTGCTGTTAAAACACACACACACAAAAAAAAAACAAACTTATATTTGCAAGACATATCTCATTATGGTTTTTTTACTAAGATATTTTGGTTTTGGTAAGTAAGAATTTTGAAAACTATTGAGTATAAAAGATGCTTGGAATGTTGACAATCTTAAGTTTTGCTCATAAGTTTCTTAGTAGACATTAATTAAAGCTCTACATTTAGGTTTGTTTCATTTATATTTGCAGCTCATTTTTGAAGGTATTCGAGGCCCGGGCATAGAAGGTGACATTGCCATTGATGATGTATCAATTGCAGAAGGAGAATGTGCAAAACAAGACCTAACGACTAAGAGTAAGTGGCTCTTTGCGAATTGGTTTGATGAGATGTTAAAGTAATGTAATGTTAATATTACAAATTAATATATTCTAATCTAACATATATTTTTATTATTTAGAATTTAGAATTTTATTTAGAATTTCTTATATTTAAGAAGCTAAATTTTTTAGGATAACTTAAAAGCAAAGTATTAAATTTGGCTGTATGCTTGTTTATCCTAAGAAAGAATATAATTTTGATGCAGATTTATGATTTTTAATTGGGATTTTAAAATATTTTAGTTGATATTATTAATTTCAGAGGTTTTCAATTTTTCTTAAGATATTTGGTTAATCTATATATTCAGCATATATTTATACAGACATACATACTCCTTTTTATTCCTCCAGTTTATAAAAATATTTCTTAGGTTTCAATTTTGTTAAACATTTTAACAAGTTTAATATTTTAAACAGTCTTAACAGGGTTTTCCCAAAAATGTATACACACTTTAACAGCTGATAACTCAATTTTGAAAATGGAATGTATTTTAATAAGCACTTCCTTTCTAATTATTCAAAGTATGTATATACATTTTTGGAGGACACCCTGTATTAAGTAATGGATTAGCCCTATTTTTTAATATATTTTTATTGATTTCAGAGAATTAGAGATAGAAACATCAATGAGAGAGAATCAGTGATCAGCTACTTCCTGTACACCTCCCACTGGGGACTAAGCCCACAACCTGGGGATATGCCCCCAACCAGAACCAAACCCAGGACCCCTCAGTCCAAGGCCGATGCTTTATCCACTGAGCCAAACTGTCTAGAGCTAGTCCTATTCTTTTTTTTCCTTTTTTCTTTTTCTGGTAAATTAATCGCATACCTGCACCACAATCAATGGTTTGGTAATTTGGTTTCAGGTTTATTCTGGTTTGAATACTATGGTTTAATTATGTCTTCAAATGTGATTTTTCACTACAAATCAATTTTTATATAGAAGAGGTATGAGTAATGCAAAAAAAAATCAGAATTGTGTATTGAGCTGCTTTCTAAAAACTTCATCTGCATGTTGTTCATTTAAAGTTGAGAAAACTTAAAAAATTCCTTTTACAATTTTTTTCAATTGAAAGGACCATCTGGAATCTTTACTTTTGTGATCACATCAAGAGATATCAGTGAAACTAAATTTATAAAAATAAATTCATCAGACGAAACAACTAGACTGATATAATTTCTTATTAATTATACTCAATTAACAAAGACTGAAGGGTCCCGGGTTCGATTCCGGTCAAGAGCATGTACCTTTGTTGCACGCACATCACCAGTGGGGATGTGCAGGAAGCAGCTGATCGATGTTTCTCTCCCATCGATGTTTCTAACTTCCTATCCCTCTCCCTTCCTCTCTGTAAGAAAGTCAATAAAATATATTTTAAAAATAAATAAATTCATCAATTATTCATATACAAAAGGAGCATGAAAGTCAATTTTGTATTAAGTCTAGAGCAAATCAGAGTCTTTGTTAATTGAGTATAATTAATAAGAAATTATATCAGTCCAGTTGTTGAAAGTCATATTTGTACAGCTACCCAGTGATCACTCACTCATATGAACTCAATTGATTACATTTTTAAACATTGTAAAAGGACAGAAACTAAAATTGTATAAAACAATGAGCCATTTTTCTCATAGATTTACCTTCTTATCATTAGCATTTCAAGTAATACATTTATAAATTTCAGCCTGTGCCTGGCTAATTTTGCTTTAGAAAACTAATAGCTCAAATGAAGTAGGTTTGTCAAATGCACAGAAAAGCATGCTTTCTCCTCAGAGGGACTGGGATTTCCTTTGGATTTCATTACATGAATCAGTGACAATAACATATTAACCAAAGATAGTTGCTATATTACAAAGAAAATTTGCACTGAAAAATATTATAAATTAAAATCAATAAGTGAATTAAACTTTCCAAATGATCAAAGCAAGAGTACATAATTTACTTCTGAAATAAGTAAATTAATTTGCAGTAGCTAATTTCAATACCCATAGCAATTCCTCCCTAGTTTTCATCAATTGTAGTTTTTCTCTGTCTTTATGCTTAAACATTTCTGAAAGCTTGGGTAGGGGGGGAAGGGAAGGTAAGATGACCATTTATCTTTCTGAGAATTTTCTGTGTGTGCATGCTTTCAAGTTGAATGTAGCCACAAACCTACACAATCAATTTTTATACTGTTTTATACCAATTTTATCCAGTACATAGTCATATATTAAAATGATAGCCTTTTCACTTGTCTTAGAAATGAAGCTGATAAATAAAACCAAAAAGAAAAAAAAGTTTTCCAAAATTGTTTTCATATACAAAATAATGTTTCATTAGTTTACCAAAGTGGAGTTGGTTGTTGCATGGAATACTTATTTTTTGTTTGGTTGTTTCTTGGCATTTATTTTCCTTGTTTTTAGATTCCGTTGATGGTGCTGCTGGAATTTTAGTACATATATGGCTTTTTCCAGTTATTGTCCTCATCTCTATCCTGAGTCCTCGAAGGTGACCTTACTCTGGCAGAGGCTATAAAAGATTCACCAGGCACTGGCATGAAGAGTCTTTGTAAATGGACATTGAAAAAACAAACTACCAAAGATTCCTCCACTGACTACTGACTCAAAAATAAAATAATAAAAACAAATTTTTTAAGCACTGGGGATAAAAGATGTCACGGAAGTATAAGTTATTCCAAACTGCATATACAAGATAGTGTTGACCTGAGTAGAGAAGAGACAGACCTTCAGGTGCTTTTGTGGCTAAAACGATTACAGTGTCATCTGGTCATCTGGTTGAACTCTGGGGGGAAAAAAAGAGCTATAGAAATTCTTGTCAAAGCACAAAGTCTTGGCTGGTTTTGTTTCAAATGAATAGTTTGCTTGTTACCATGGAAACATAATGGCCTGCCAACAAAAACCTCACTGTAAACAGGGTACGTGAAGAGCTGGCATTTATTTTCCTTTGGAAAAGCTTTTACGTAGAGAATTCAATAAATGTAGGCCCTTTTACCTTTGGTTGTTACCCTTCCTTGAAAAGAACCTGAACTCAGAATTATTTAAAACATTCATCCTCCCCGCCTATCCCCATATGACCTTTATAATTTGTCTTTGTTTTCCTCATTCTCCTCCCATGGCTAAGCTAGATAACTGTGTGCTGTCTCTTTTTGCATGCACTGCTATCCAGGATGGTCCACCTGGGCTTACAAACACACAGGCTTATCCAGTTTGCGCGGCCACTTGAGCACCCAAACTGTCATCTGTTCCAGTGAAGAAACCAAACCACCATCTTTTATAAATTGCCATGGAAACTAAGTGCCTTCAATGAAACAAGCCTGAATAATTTCCAGCTCAGAAGCTTGCACTGCTAAGAGTGGTTTGTGTAAAACTATTTTATAAACAAACTGCAGAGCCTAAACGTGCAAATTACAGGCAAGACAACAAAGCCGCTTCTGAGGAAGAAAGGACCGAAGCTGCTGCGTGAGCCCGAGCCGAGCCGAGGAGACGCCTGTCTGACCAGACAGCCACGGCCTTCCAGCTTACTGTCCATTAGCAAGTACCGTCCACTGAGACCAGACGAGGGAGCAACTTTTTTTCTTCCAGGTTATTCAATGGGTCAACCAGAGCAGAAGGTTAAGATAATACTCAGCGCAAGAGTGATTTTTTACTCTAACCTCCATTTGAAGTGAAATTGGCCCTAGCTTTAGAGGGAACAAGAAAATGTTTGTGATTTCAGTGCATACAAACTCTACAGCGGAACTGGGCCTGAAAAATCTGGCTTTATTCTAAACACTGAGGGTAACATGCCTCTGCCCTTAAGTCAGACTCTGTGCAAATTGTGAAATATTATTTTATTATTTTACAAAGATTAAAAAACACTTTTACAGAAAAAAAAGTAAAAACCTGTAAAAATGATTTTGAGCTACCTGAGGATAAATCATACCTTTAACCAGCCAGTTTTCCAATGCATTGTAAATTTCACTTAAACTTGTTGGTATGAAAATTTGAAGATCTCTTTCCTTAAATTATCTCAGCTTTTAACTTCATTTAAGACTTTTGTCTAAAGAAGAATAGTATTATTGTTATTATGTTCTATCAACACCCCGGGATTTAAAAACTGGTTATGCAAGTAATTGGGATATAAGTATTAAATTATAACATTTGCAAATATTAATATAAAAAGCACAACAAAATGTAGTGGGAAATGACACAGCTTGATTTTTTTAAGTCTATAGAAATGTTTGTGCAAATTCAGTAATTCACCTTAAAAGATAACTTTACAGCTATGTTCAATAAAGCCTCTTTCCAGGTAAGGTATGAAAAGCAGTATGTGTGTTTGTTGAGCAATGTTCACTTATCACCAAAATGAGAATAGCTATATAATTTATCTGTTATGTCACCATAGCATAAACCTTCAGTGCTTCATGTAACTTAATGTTTACAGGAAGAAATTTTAATAGGAACTCCTTGATGCACTTTCCCACTTTTGTCATACATGTTTAAAAAAAAAAAAAAGCCAAATCTTTGAAAGTAAAACATGAAACAAATATGAACTTGGAATTTAATGTGTATTTTCATAGTTAAAGAAGGGACTAGTTTGAAAGTAGTGATAGAATTGAGCTAAGCCAAACCCTTTAAATTAAAATAGATAAACAAAAAAAAAGAATTTCATGACTTATTTGAACAAATCAGGCATATTGTTGTGTTGCTTTTTTTCAAAATTAGAGTTACGCCAAAGATATAAGTAACATTTGAGGCACTTAGCTTAATGTATACTAAATTTTCCTTCGTTTTGCCTTCCATCTTGTGTGGCAACTATCTTCTTTTCTCCATTATCCCGTATTAGTAGATGATCTTTTTTATTGATTTTCTGCTCACTCATTGCTGGTAATATCAATAAAAAGGTTTTAGATCTAAACAGAGGCTTAACTCATTGCTGCCTTCTTTCCTTAAACTTTTATTTGAGTGAGGATTTTACAAAAAATAAAAAAATACATTCAAAATATTTGGATATACATATGTCATTTTCAGGAAAACAAGTCTCTTTTTCTCCCAAGTAAATCTACACAAAGAAATAGCTGTAACTAAAAGTTTCAATCCTACTATTAAACATTAATAAGGTCTTAAGACTTTATTACCTTTCACAGTGTAAAAATACACAAGGCTTCAGAAGTTCATGAGAACTGGCTGGTACTTCAAAATTAATTATGATTAAAATTTTAAGAAATTCCTGATGAGTGCCAACAACAAAGGGCAATCAGAATTGCAAAGCAATTATATTTATTGATATGGTAACAAAGTATATATCTCAAGTGGGTTCTGGATCATTTATGTAAACCAATAAACAGAATTAGAATCATTGTTTTTCACTCCAGATCAAATGTTTCATTGCTTTAATTGAAAGTCAATGGATAAAATGCAGAAAATTTTTAATTGGGATAAGTGAAATAAATGTAAATTGTGTTAAGTAGTCTCTCTTCTTTAATATTAGTGATAATAATGACAATTAACTGTTTACCAACTGCCTTCCTTTTCCTAATATTTTTGTGTTTATTATAAGTTGAACTTATTAACATATCCCCTCTTTTCTTTTTTATAACATATTTTAAGTGTGATGGATGTCAGTCTCTTTTTTTCTTTTTCAGGAAGGCATCAGGCAGTGGAGATTTTAATTTCCAGGAGAAAGATGTCTACATAATCTCCTACTGCCAATAATTGACCCTTGATTAATTAAGAACATTACTTTGTTTCCTCATTTCAAAGACACTTGCTTCTCCACAGTTTAACATCTCTGCAATTGGCCTATTTGAATTACTATTGGTGACATTTCTATGTAGTGGCATATAAAATTATACTGCATCCAAAAACTGATGACATTTAGATATCAAAATTCACTAAAGTTTTCAGAAGTCCCAAATCATGCCCAATATTATTATTTTTCATTAGTAATAGTGGCCCCATTTTTGTGAAATTGATATTAAATACTCATTGTGCATTATTTTAAAATAGCATAACTTATTTTGTGCTTTATAATCTGAGTCTTCTATTATATTCTTATATTCAATATACATATTGAATATAAGAATATATAGTCATATGTTTTTCTATTTTCTGCTACATATTTTTTAGCTCCATCACGAATTATAATATGCTATGTATCCCTGGTTTAAAATGTGTTCTTTTTTTCAGTTTCATGTGCTTAAATTTTCCTTGAGACTTGAAAGATCCATGGTATAGCACAATACCATGAAATAGGCTAAACTAATGGTACTTCACATACATCACAGAATTGATTTTGCATGGCAATAAAGTATGATAACCACAATAATCAGAATCATAAAACTGCTAGTCACTTATATCATGTTATAGATAGTACAAATAATCTCATTCATTACTTTCATATTTTAAAATATGACAAAATATGAGTGACAACTGTACTAACTTTTCACCAAACATGCATTTTTATTTTAAAGACAATAATAAACTTGTTTGTCAAAATGTGTAATTTGAGAACAATTAATTTGGTTCGGTACTTGAAATTGTATGAAATGGGCTGTGGTATTTTTCTTGCTCTCTTTTCTTTGTTTTTGTTGTGGGTTTCTTTGTGTTTTTGTTTTGTTTTTTTAGTGTTTTGAAAGATGGTGACAAGCTAATCTGATTTTAGTAAGCCATTTCAAAGGATTCTTTTGAAGGCATGTTCTTTATCAAAAAACTCTTTTGTGGTTTTTTGTTTTGTTTTGTTTTTTTAATGTGCCTTTCAACTATCAAGGCCTTTCAAGAGACATGTAAGCTGGATAAAATTTACTCTCAGTTCATTTTTTCCTTGGTTGGTGGCTCCTTACTGATTGCTCCATCTGTGTCTCAGCAAAGCAGAAGGTGTACTCTTCTTCAACTGGGCAGTTGATGTCAATGAGGAGTTATTACATTTTCTGTGAAAACAAGAAAGTCATAGGGTTCAATCCCAAACTATTTTCCTTCCTACAATGTTCCCTTTGTAGCTAACTAGTTTAATTAGTTTTCTTAGTGCTTATTTTTAAAAAGCAATGTCTCTGGCATTTTCTACTTCAACTTAGGAGCAAAGCTACCACAGACTGATCAGACCTTTTTGCAAATCTGATATAAAAAGTTATTTCCTGAGTATACTTAATATTTATAAATAAATATGTATGTTATTACATAGAAAATGTAAGACTTAAAGACTTGAAATTTTAATGTGAAATATGTCAATTCAGAATCAATCCATTATATGTTTATGTCTGCTTAGAAACAGAATTGAAAGTTAAGAGGAAATAAATAATCCATATATTTGTAAATGGACTACTTAATTGAAGTTATTAATATAAAACTGAACAAATTATGAGTAGTGATTACACTACCCTGAACCCACATTGAGTATATTAAAAAAAAAGAATTGGAATTCAAAATTTTGTATAGGGCAGAGGTTAAACTCTGTGTAGAAAATGAAGTAAGTTTTCTCAAGAGAATATTTATAACTGATTGAATTTGATTTCAATTGTACTAATTTCCATGAGTTGAGCTACAATGTATTCATAGTTTTTAATGAAATGATGGCAAATTTTATGAACTAGAGGTTAGCTCATTAGTTTCAGTTTGTTTTCCTAAAGCTCTTAATTGTTGTCTTGGATTTCCAGGATATTTTTATTTCTTGAGTCTCATCAGTATATTTAAGTGTATAAATTTAATCAAATATACATTGTATTAAATTTATATTGAATATTAGATACATTTCAGATCTCAAAGTTTAGATTTAACTTACTTTTCCTTTGATATTTTCCTTTGACTAAATAGTTTCAGATAGTTGTATGTGTTTTTTTTCCCCTTGGATTTTCTTTCAATAAATAAAATTATGTTATATACTCTATTAGTGTTTGGGGGACATTTCTGCTGTCAATAAAAACTTAAGATAGAAATAGAAAGATATATAAATGCAATTATATTTGCAAATTAAAATGAAAATTCATAATTTCTCTCATTATTAAAAAGCTTTAGAGACTGAACACTGCAGTGAGACACAATTAGCCCATTAAAGATATTTGTTGACTTTTGCATCCTTTGTGAGGGGTCATTTATAAGATTGTATTAAACAAGTAGGCACTATAATATTCCTGAATGAACTGTGCTTTAAGAATTATGGCTCAGTGTAATATATCTGGTCTTTTACTAGTATATGATATGTGAAATAATTGACTGCAGATAAAAAGCTCCAATGTTATTGAGGATGGTAGTTTTAATCACATATTTCTTGGGGGCACTAGGCCAAATGTGGGCTTTCTGAAGGAAATAAGTAATACTACTTGACAATGATTTGAGTGAACCAATGTATAAATGGAATCCTGAAAACTATTTTGCTTAGCCTTGTTTTTCTACTGCCTATTTAGCTTAGTTTTCTCTTGATCTTTGGCATTATATCTCTAAGCATATTCACAAAATTGTGAAAAATGCAAATGCAATCAACATTAACAGACCTATTAACCATGTTTAAATGTTAGCACAGCTGCTCCATAGACTACCTGGTAAAGTACTGTTTGTTCTCCATAAGATGTTTAGTTTGATAGTAATATTAAAGACTTTACCAATATTTGATTTCCTGCGGTACTTATATTCCTTTAAAGTACCCTTGTTTCTTTCTCTCTCTCTCTCTCTCTCTCTCTTTTTTTTTTTTTTTAATGATTGGAAAGAGAGAGAGAAAGGGTGAAGGATAGAGAGATAGAAACATAGATGAGAGAGAATCATCCATTGGCTACATCCTGCATGCCCTCTACTGGGATTGGGCATGTCTTTTCATGGTGAATCAAGCCAGAGACCTCTTGGTTCATTGGTCAATGCTCAACCACTAAGCCACACCACTGGCAGGGCAATGGAGTTGCCTTTAGTTGTCTGCTTATCTGCTTCCCAGATGATATCATAGCCTTCTCCATGCAAGGACTATGACTTTTTACAAGTTTAAGAACTTTCAAATTACCTAGATTCTACAGAAATTATTGAATTAATGGCTGCTAAATTAATCCATGATTTAGAGCTATATTTAGAACAGACTTATTCAATGAACCTAGGCAATAAGCAGCAATGTCACCTTTCAGTTATAACGCCAATGAAATTTCATGGACAGAAGATACCTCCTATGTACTGAAAAAAAAAAAAATGAGGAGTCAATGCAATTGAAACATCAGTTTAAGTAATTGCAACCTAACTTTCCAGCTTAACAGAAAATTAAATTTCTTAATAAAAGGGAAAATATTGTTAATATTTTTGCAAACAATCCTTATATGATTAAACTAATGAAAACAAAACTAATTTGGCACGTTTTGTGTTAGATGGCATCATTATATATGAGAATAATACTACATAAAATGTTATGCTTAATTTTAAAAAACTTAACTCTTTTCTAGAGTTTGTTGTAGTAGATATTTCTTGAGATCCTATCATTAACTACACATGAAGAATATTTAAATATGCAAACATTTACAAATTATATAATAATTTGATTTACATACACCAAAATTGTAACAATGATGAACAAGGGAAAGTTCTATTTTTATTCCCTTCATTTGCTAAAGTTTTTAATAGAGGAAAAGTATTCTTGTAAAAAAAAAAATGCTATTAAAATAAAATACATTATACAAGTAATAAGATACTAATTTAGTTCTGGGTAATATTTTAAATAGCAAAGTTAGATTCTTACACATAACAAAATGATGTGAAGCAAATTAATTTTCAAAATTAGAAACAATGTTGATTAGAAAGGACTATATTTTTATTATTTTATTTTGTTTTTGCTTTGAATTTCATGTTTTAGCTTTCAAAATTAACATAATTCAACAGGCCAATTAGCCCAAATAAGAGATTGTATAGTGCTAGTATGTAGCAACTCCACAAAAATTAACTTAGAAGTAAATTAACATAAGTAATACAGTGTCTGTTATAATTTTTTAATAAAATAAACATGTATCTTTCCTTTTTCATTGATCTAGTCTTCTACAATATCATGTACAAGCCTAGTATTTTGCATATAAACAAATGGTCTTTCCAATGCAGGAGTAACGAGGGTGTTGGAAGCAGGTGCATTCTGAATCTACATCGCACACTGGGGTCTGCAATTCCTCACTCAGCATTTCAATCCTTCATGCTTATGTTGCTTTGTCCATTTAGCTTTCTTTTAAGCTATAAATATGCCCACAGGGGAAACATGTTAGTCTATAATATTTGGGATCAACATTTGATCAGTTCACAGACTTCCAGTATCTAACAAAATAGACTGAGGAATCACTGGACCTATTGGGAGGAGCTTAGGAACAGGAAGAGAATGCAAAGAGGAGAAGTGTGGTATTTCAAGGACTACATTAATTTCATAATTTTCCTGATGACAATTACAGAGTATATATATTTACTACATAAAGCAAAAATAGGAAAAGAATAATATCAGGCTGCCAGATGCATAAAAAGGCTCAAAGAGAAAAATAATAGAGCTTCCTAAATAAAAACATAAATGACAATGAGGTTGTCTCTGGGGCGGGGGAGAGGGGGAATGGGATTCGATATGGATAATGTATTTAAAAGTTAATGTATCAAACTAGAGTGTTCACATTAGGAGAAAAGGGAGAAAAAAAATTACACAACCAGAAGTATTTTTTAGAGACACACAACCTAAAAAATGAAAAGAAAATGTCCAGATCAAGTAAGTTTGAAGAACTGCAATTAACATTTATACATATATTTTAACATGTGTTCCCCTTGCTTTCTCTTCTTTCCTTTGCAGTGACTGTGGTTGCCTGGCTTCTCTGTTCACTTTCCCCTTCCGGGTTATGTAGATTCGCTGATGTAGGTTAACCTAGAGTAAATGTTCCTTTGAGATGTACTTCAGCACACAAGTTCCAGTTTCAGACTGCCTCTGTTCACATGCTTTCCATAACATTATCTCTTTAGATCAATTCAGTTATCTTACTTAAGGTGTCAAACACAGTTTCCTTTAAAACAGGGTTAATTGCAACAGTAAAAATATGGTGTATTTCATAGAATTTCTAAGAGGCTCAAATGAAAAAGACTATGTAAAACACTTATTTTCCTAGGGCAGAGCAAGCATTAGTGAGCACTAACTTCTTATTGATAGGCTTGTTATTCTTCAAGAAAGAACAGTAGAGAATCTTAATGTCTATTACACTGCATTGTGCCACAATTGTAAATGAGCATTTTCAAATTATTTCCACTTTATCTAATAAGCTGCTTCAAGCCCATGCATATGCACATTCATACTAGTACATGACATTAATACTAACATATATAATAGCTATTTATTTTATTCAAATTGACTTCACACATATCACTTCATCTGTTCTAACCCGTAATGATTAGTGACTTTCCCATGGCACATGTGAATCCAGGTGTTATTGGTAATATTGTGTCCCATCACAGCACGAGGATGGGCACCTTTTCACAGTGTGACCCAGGACTGAAAAGAACAGTGCTTAATGAGCAATGTCTTATTTCTTTATCTGGTGAACTTCTGTACTGTGTCAAATATAAAACAACACTCTTTTACAGATTACTAAAAAGAAAAAAACATAGTTTACTATAATTGCAAGATACCATCAGTTATAACAGGCAATGCTATCCCAGAGATGTTAAGTTGTGGAAAAAAATGGATCTTAAAATTAATGAAATGTAACATCATTTAAAATTATACTAGATATTTTATGCACACTTCATAGGGAAGCTGCTTCATGTATTTTGATGCAGTTGGATTTTGACTTTAATGAACATTAAAATCTTCTAGAGTGGTTGTTAAGAACAGTTTCCTGAGGTTTTCAGTTGATAGACCTGGGGAGGACTGAGAAGACATGCATTTTTAAATAAAACCCTTACGTAATTTTTCTTATAGTAAACATTGGTGTAGTGGAAAGAATGTAAATTACAATCCTAATTTATACCACTAGTACCTGTGTGACCCTGTGATGATTTAAAGTCCCTATGCCCAGTGCTCCTGCAGACATCTCAGTGAGGTCTGGGATCAGAGTTCCAGAGTTCAGTGCTACACAATCTCCCTCAGTTCCCTTATCTGTAAAAGGGGGTATTGTATTATTTAATTTCTAAGCTAACATATGTGAAACACTTAGAATATTATTGACATACTAGAGGCCCAGTGTACGAATTCATACATGGGTGAGGTCCCTCAGCCTGACCAATGATCAAGGCTTGCTGGCCAAGGGAAGGTGACCGCGGGTGTGGGAGTGCACTGACCATCATGGGGGAAGTTCCTACATTAAGCATTTCCCCCCCAGGTGGTCAGTGCACATCATAGCTACTGGCCAGTTGTCTGGTCATAACAGTCATTTAGACATATATATATATATAGCAAGTATATATATGTCTTTACACATCTATAAAAATGGATGCTAATAATACTACCCACATCATAAAGCCATGATTATGGAGCAGTACATATCAAGTATCTGGTAAAGAGAGAAGTGATTGTTGTTTCTTTTTAAAAATATATATATTTTATTGATTTTTTTACAGAGAGGAAGGGAGAAGGATAGAAAGTTAGAAACATCGATGAGAGAGAAACATTACTCAGCTGCCTTATGCACACCCCTTACTGGGGATGTGCCTGCAACCAAGGTACCTGCCCCTGAACCAGAATCAAACCCGGGACCTTTCAGTCCGCAAGCTGAGGCTCTATCCACTGAACCAAACCGGCTGTTTGTTATTTCTTTAATTTTGACTTAATAGGGTAACATCTTTCACAATAAGTTCTTAAATAACTCATCTCAATGCTAACTCATTTTCTTTTCCTTGTTTTACTTTGAAGATAGATAAGAAAGAATTTGCTATAATTTTTAGTGATTTTTATTTATCTGTCTTGAAAAGCATTCGCCCCCAAATGAAGTAAACCCCCTGAAGTTACTTAAAAATGTAAATTATTTTTTGAGTTTTAGGATATAAAAATTTTATACATATATTTATAAAATACTTTTTATTTTAGGTTATAAAAATAAGTTCAAAAACTTAGACACTTTTTAGTGAATGGGCACAAGTTTGGCATTCTTCAAAAGTTATCATTGAGATTTGCATATGTATTTACATCCTAGACAGAAGTCCTGCTAATTTTTTTAATTAAGCTTTTATTTTTAGATAATTATAGATTTGCATGTAGTAAAAGAGAATATGGAGACATCCTATGCACACTTTACCCAGTTCCCCCAGTGATAACATCTATACTTGTGTGTGTATTTGTATTTAGTTCTATGTATTGGTTACATCTGTTGGTTCATATATCTACCACCACAGTAAAGACACAGTTCAATCTCCACAAGAACCCCTTTAGTGTTGCCTTTTTTTAACCACATCCACTTCTCCCCTGCTTTCCCTCCTCCAACCATCCTATACTCCTGGCAACAACTAATCTGTTCTTCATTTCTTTAGTTTTGTCATTTCAAGAATATTATATAAACACTACCATACAACTATGTAAGTTTTGGGTATTGGCTTTCTGCACTCAACATAATTTCCTGGAGATACACTGAGTGGCCAGATTATTATGATCTCTGAACGCATAATAACCTGGCCACTCAGTGTGTGTGTGTGTG